GGGCGTTGCCTGGGATACATTGCATATTTCACTAAGTATGTAGGCCCAGATTATCAATTAACTCTCCCTTTTCTTGTGAGTGGAAAATCATCAAATCACTTCTCCCGCCCAAGGTGAGGCGAGAGAGTGTCAGTCTCTTAGCGACTATAAACCTCCATCTTCCCTCCCCGTTCCTTCTCCTGCTCTACGCTGAGACCGCGGTGCCTTATTGCGTCTGCCCCGCAACCCAAGCTGCACATCAGCCCTACAGGGCCGGTCTGTGTCGGTCCATTGAATCTTTGAGGCGAGCGCGGAACTCTACACCCCATACGCTTAGACATCTATACTAATATTATAAAGAGGTAAAATTAGTAAGTTTGTAAGTTTGTATGTTTGTAAGTTTTTATGTTTGTAAGTCTGTATGTAGGGGGTAATATTTGGAACAGCTGATCGAATTGCCAAAATTATTTCACTGATAGATAGCTACAATGCTACAAAATTCCTGAGTGCTATAGGCTATAAAACATGGAGCTAAAGCTACTAGCTTACGAGTACATGGAGCCGAGCGGCAGGTGAAACCGCGCGAGAGTAGCTAGTCTCTAATAATTTAAATATTTAAGCAACCCAACAGAAATATATAATATATTATATAGATTAATAGATAATATATAGATTTATTGTATGACTTGTAAGTATGTAAATGTAATAGCAAACGAAGAACACTTATTACCATTAAAATATCAATTGATTATGCATTTATGTGCTACACTTGTGCAGATCACGTGCAACACGCTTGTGTTGCTATTCTCTGCATAGGTTTTTATCAATAAAAACCAACTTATTGTCTATAGTTATAAATTGAAAGAGGAAGTATTTGATTGGTGGTTTGTTTTCATTGAGTACGTTCCAAAATTATTGGATTTAATTGAACGATTTTTGTTGTACATACTAATGTAATGTAAAAATAATACATATACATTAATCATAAATTCTTAAACTACTCATAAGAGTGTTTAAGAACACTTTTCATTTATTTGGAATACTCTCAAGTTAAAATATGTGGTGAATTTTAATTTTCTCGTCATCATCGGTAGGCATAAGGCATCCCTAGCTAGATAAAGGCTTTGCCTCATTTAAATGAGTAGGTAGAAAACCTTTTTTGATTTCATTGAGAGAGGTATTGAATTTGGTAAATTAAATAAAAGGAATTGAACTTTATTGACATTTAAATCCTAGATACTGTGTGAGAAGTGCATTTCTTTGAAAAATCAAAACTAAAAGCTAAAAATTTGAGCAATTTTTTACCGAGTAAGTTTAAGTATTATTGAGAAATAGGTATGCATAAACAAAAACACATGTCTTGGAGTCTGACTCCTGATTAAACTATTGTAGCTTTTGTATTTTCGCGTTCCGCGCTCGCCTCATAGATCCAACATACCACCACGGATTTTTTTTTTTTTTGTGAGGGGAAAATCATCAAATGACTTCTCCCGCCCAGGGCCGGGCAGGAGGGAGTGTCAGACTCTTACTGACTAAAAACCCCCCTGTTCCTTCTCCTGCTCTGTGCCGAGGTCGCGGTACCTCATTGCGCTTACCCCGCAACCCCGGCTGAACATCAGCCCTTTAGGGCCCCGTCTGTGGTGGTCTATTGGCTCTTTGAGGCGCGCGCGGAACGCTACGCGCCGTACGCTCGGGCCTGGTTCTGGTCGGGCGGCGAGCTGCCCTTACTCGCCGACCGCAGGCCCGTACTTACGGTGGCCGGAGATCGTCCCTCGATCCCCGACGCCCGTAGTGTCGCCAGTTGCGGCTGCTGGGGCGTGAGGAGGAGGATTGCTCCCTCACGCGGGCCGCCTCTCTCTTTGCGAGCATGACTGCTTCACAAAAGGAGGAGACGGCGTCCCAGTTCCTCTCACTCCGCACCATGGCCTCGACTAAGGCCGGGCGCGAGAGGTCGCCGCCGCCGATCACTTCCCTGAGGATACGGCGGTGCTCAGCCCAGGCAGGGCATACCGCTACCGTATGCTCCACCGTATCCTCTAGGTGGTCCTCACAATGACGACACTCATACCACCACGGATGGGGCCCAATAGAGCCGATGTCGTGGTAGCCCGGAGGTTAAGGAGGGTTCGAAACCTGGCAAGTACCAATGTGACTTTTTCCGAGTTATATGTACTTTCTATGATTATTTAGACTCCACTGACATACGGTGAAGGTAAATATCGTGAGGAAAGCTGGACTTCTAATTTCTAATTCGAAGTTTGAAATCGCCAACCCGCATTCAGCAAGCATGGTGATTAATGCTCTTACCTTCTCTGTGTGAGAAGAGGCCTTTGCTCAGCAGTGGGCACTTATAGGCTGATGATGATGATGAGAACCGATGTTCTGCTGGGATTGCGCGTCAAGGAATAATGACTGGCAGCACTAGCCTGGAGTTGCAGGACTAGGCAGTAAGAGTCTAGGCTGAACTACCTCTCACATGGACGAGAGATGTTATTTGATGATTTCCCCTTCAAAAAAGGCACTGCGTCTGGCAGTAAGGCTTACAACCAAACAGGCAGGTTTTCAAAATATAATAAAAATGACGTAATATAGGTCACAAATGACAATTACAACGGTAGTCAATAATTGTAGCGTGTTAAAAAATTTATGGCATGCTGACATTTTATTATCACGTTCATGTATCGAATCTCCACTCAACTGCGTGTTTTATATTTATTTTCGTCAGATAATTTAAATTTAAATATTATAGTATGTTTACCTACTGTTTAAATTATTTAGCGAAACTTTCCGTTATGTTTACGTAGATGTATGTGTTAGTACTGTCTGTCGATTATTATGAGTATGATGATATTTTTTCTTTTTTAATTTGTTACATCATTCATTTCCTAAAAAGAGGTGGTTTATATATATATCTATACTTCTATACTTAGGTATATATATTATAAAGAGGTAAAATTTGTAAGTTTGTATGTAGGGGGAATCTTTGGAACAGTTGGTCGAATTGCCAAAATTCTTTCACTGATAGATAGCTACATTGTTCCTGAGTGTTATAGGCTATAAAACATCACAGCGGGTGAAACCATGCGAGAGTAGCTAGTCTGTAATAAAATTCGTTAATGTTGATGAGAATGCACAGTTGATGCGGTGGCTGGGTAGGTAACGTGTCGCGGTTTCGATTCCTGCACAGTAGTGTGATCCACAAATTGTTGTTTCGCATATACTCATCACAACATCTGGGTATGATGCGTATATGAATTTGTAAACACAGCAATATTACTTATCGACAGTAGGGAAGCAAGGGATTTCAGCAGTACCTAACTGAAACGCGTCAGATTAACAAATGAAGAATATTAAGGATCTCGGATAATATACTACTGGTATATACTCACTATAAACCAGTAAATTGAGAGGGCCAAAAAACCTTTATGTATGTATTTAAACTGATTGCAGTCAGGTTCGTTAGATTAAGAGAAGACATGGTAGTAATTAGTATACTTATTGTAGAGAAAATTATAGACCCCAGGACTTTTGGCCAAAAGTCTATAATTAAATTAAACCTGCATATAAAATAAAGGAGTTCCGTTATCAGCATTAATGGATATTATGCATCATAATAACATGGAAAATTATGAAATAAATAGTTTTATTTGATATAACAGTTTAACAAGCACGTTCATAGGAATATTATTTAAATATTACATAAGAAAATATCTGTCTGCTATTACTCGAAATGGAAATAGAAGTGTCTTTTTGAAATAAGGCAATTCGTCAATACTGTTAGCTTTTTTCAGAATTAATCCTCTTTTAAAAGTTGCCAAAGGATAAGCAATTCTCTTCCAGTGTAACAAAAACTAAACTTTTATGTATTTCATAGACTAACATTATTTGAACAGTGCAATTCTTTTTTTAGGTTCTAAAATATGGCGAGAGTTATATTTTTTTATGTCATAGGTCGGGAAACGAGCAGGCGTATTACCTGATGGTAAGCAAACGGCGTCGCTCATGGACACTCGTACCTAATACCACAAATGCGTTCGCCTCTTGTGGGTTGTTAGGGATTTAAGAATAGGGGCATTTGTGAATTGAGAAAATAGGATTGGTTGCCTCCGGTAACCGCATTCACGCGACGAAACACAATGTAAGCTTTACACTGGTTTTTGTTCGAGGTCGTGGTATCACTCCGGTCAAGCCGGCCCATTTGTGCCGAAGCACGACTCTCACACACTTGTCAGACTCTTATTGCGGAAAAGCGAAAAATTATCCTTTTAACATTACAAGACGGTGCAATATCCTTAGCTTTGTTGCGTAGCTATAATAACCTCATACATATAACTCAATTCATAAAATAAAAATGTAAATTTAATGAATGATAAAAGCCTAAAGAATTGCCAACTTTTTTTTAATTTCTTAAGGGGATGCATGGAATGGAGTCTCAAATTGAAATGTTATTCATTCGTTTTGTTTCGTTCACGTACCAGACATTCAATCTCAATCATTTTAATGTCAATGGAATCATTTATCAGATTATTTTTTAAATGCTTGTTTTTTTTGAATGCGTGCTAGTTCTTTCGTATTTCGAACGCCAATTTAATTTAAATTTAAAAATAAATAAAAACAGCCTGTCTTGTATTTTTATTAGGCCATTCTAAATACAAGAGCAAACTTTTCTGAAGTAAAAATCCTGGTAGGTTTGGTAGGTACTTCTGCCTACACCTTCAACTTAATTAAATCGTGATGTTAAAAGCAAAAAATATAACGCGATTGACTAACAATAGATAATATATTTACATAAACGATAATCTCGTCAACTATGTCAATTTCCCAGATCTAAATCTACCTACATATGCGAACGATCGAGTCAGCTGCGTGCCTGCAAGTCGCGTGCCTTAAAAACAAGGCTAGTCCATTGTACCGTGACAGTCGATACTAACCTTCGCGAACGAAGTACGCGGCCCGGCTCACCTGTCGCGAGCATGGCGGTTTGACGCGCGCGTATAAAATAAAAAAAGAAATCAACAATAATAATTTCAAACTTTACCAACATCACAAAAATAATTTAAAAATTTAAATACATACCATAAATAAATATTGTATAGACTGTGCAAGTGAGCTAGCGTAAGAAAGACCGCGTTCTTTATTTGATTTTGTTTTTTTTCTTAATTTCCCGGCCGCTGCAGTGAAAATGGGTTTGAAGTCTGATGATGACAAAAGGCCGAGCAAATTGGCGATCATGGATGACGACGTTTCGGATAAGCCAAGTAAGTGTTTATACATTTTTTATAGTGTGAAAGTGAGAAATTAAGTGTTTTTGACAAGTTAATTAAGTCAGTACTCGTTTTGCTAATGAAGGTAGACACAAACGTATTTTAATGTGAATTAATTCGTATCCTGAAAATAGTAGAATTTATATGATTAAAGTAAGCAAAACGTAAAATTGTTTGGTGTAGGTAGTAAGGTTTTAAATTGCTATTGAGTTGAGAACCTAGATACCTATATCGTAAATGTAACTTTTACAAATAAAATAATTACGATATCGGTGTTAATTTTATTAGAGGAGTTAATGAATGTCAAATTACATAGGATACTTTGTTTCGCTTCACCCTTTGACATTTTGACACAAAAAAAACATTTAGTACGAAAAAATCCTATAAATACTTTATAACTTTCGTTACTAGGATAAATATTAAACATGAAAAGAAAAAAAACTTATATTTTTAAACTGTTACTATGATATTAACTTTCTCTTTTTAATAAGGATATTTATCGTAGCATTAGTATTAAAGTCCCATAAACTTAGATAAAGTGCACAAAGGAATAATAATTACAATAATATAGGAAAAAAATTAAATTAAAAAAAAGTAAAGATTTGATTTATCTACCTCTTAACAGGGAAAACAATAACGATAAAATTTATGAGTACTCAGGTTTTGATTAATTAAAACGGTTTAGTCGAGTTTAATTTCGCTTCATAGGCTGTAAGCTGTTCGTATTAAATCGATTTAATTGATTTCTTGCGAATGATCTGTGTTATAATCGTAATAAGCGCTTAGAAATGAAAAATGTGATTTAGGATCATCTACATTAAGATGAGCAATTACATGGTATTCATAATGGGGATGAGTCTTTAATGATCAGTTAAAATTACCATTAAGGCGTTTATTTTATTGTTAAATATTTACTGTATAGTTTCCTCATAATTGCCAAGTATCCATCTCATTGATAAGTGCAAATTTGTGTGTCAAAATATGCTTATTGAAGAAGCTTATTTCGTGTCTTTGAAATTGATAAAATTCAAAGTATCACTATCAGTTTATCGTATAAAACAAAGTCGTTTTGCTGTCCTTATTTATATCCTTGTGTATGCTTAAATCTTTAAAACTACGCAACGGATTTTGATGCGATGCGTTTTGGGTAGCTAGAAAAAATAGTTTTAAATCCGAAGTCAGAGTGCGAAAATGGATGATTTTCTATCAAAATTGGTTAGAAAGAAATTGATGTAATGATTAAATGAGGAGAACGTAGTGTAGCTTATTAACGTTTTATTATATGTACAAAACTACAGAGCAGGTATTATTAAAACTCAGGACTCGTAATCAATATATTAAGGTCTAAAATCTCAATTAAAAATTCAATTCTTTGTTCCTTTACTTGTTATTCGTGCTTTTAGATGTAGGTAGTTCTTAACTCTGGCGACGCCGGCTTTCATTTAAATGTCAACTTTTGTATGGATATTTCAATGCATTTATCCTAAAACCAGTTATGAAGCTGTATTCGGGTTTCATTATAAACAAGGTAATTTCAAACTTTTTACAACTACGAGTTTGCGAAAATTAAAGAAGTAAATATATCCTTCGAATTCGCATGTTGCATATCTACTCATAATTTTATACAAGGGAAATCTATCCTACTAATTGCGCTAATCCTACTATCATACTTATTTTATGTAAATATGAAAGTTTGTGAGAATGTGTGGATGTATGTTTGTTATTCTTTCACGCAAAAAAGGCTGGACAGATTTGGTTGATATTTGGTATGTAGATTGGTACTATCATGGATTAGATGAATTAATGGACACATAGACTGCTTTTTATCAACATACCACGCGAACGAAGCCGCGGGCGGAAGCAAGTAAAGAATAATATAAAACCTACCTATTTATTTATTTTTTCATTATGGTAATACTTATTGCTATCAGACACATGGTGATGGATCTTAAATGATCATTTATTAGCCTCGTGGCTGGTTGACGTAAAAAGCGCTAAATCCGATGTTTTTCAGAAGTATGTAATCGTGAGAGATATATTTACATAATGTCACAATGGAAATTAATGTATTTTATTAGCTTAAGCCATCGAATTGACGATTTTTATTAGCCTAAGTGATCTAATGTTCGATAATTGTTGTTCACATTAAATTTTATATTGTCAACTAAATTACTTAAGTAGACTGATTTTGCTTGTTGATTTTTTTTTTTGTTGAGGAAACATTTTTTCGCGCGAATAGTTTGTAGTCTATGCAGATATTTTTAAGTGACCACAGATTAAAATAAATATCTATTCTAAAAGATTTATTCTTTATCAGGTCTATGAAGGTTCTCCTTCTACAATTTAACAACATATCGAAATTATTTATCGATTGAAAACTAGATTATAAAATGTCCGTTATAGGTAGGTATGTGATGTTCGGCGTTGTTAAGCAACAGAAAGTAGTGTGACCCACAAATTCTAAGTTCAATTTTACATGACCCGAATAGACACTTATTAACTACTAAGGGGGCGTAACTATTGGAATAAGGGCAGCCAAGTACTCAGTACTTGAATAATATATCAATTGAAAACCATCATAGTTTCTTCAGGATCGGACAGGACACAACCCACCATGACACCTCTCGGTTTGCTGATGTCCAAATTTTTTTGTGAGGGGAAAATTTATCAAATGACATTTCCCTCCCTGGGTCGGGAGTGTCATACTCTTAATGCCCCTCCTGATCCTTCTCCTGCTCCAGGCCGAGGCTGCGGTACCTCACTGCGCTTGCCCTGCAACCCCGGCTGGTCCCTAAATAGACTTTACGTTTACTAGCACGTTTGACACTTTTACAATAGTACATTTTTTGTGGTGTTTGTGCCTGGTTTTCTCCCAATTGTACAGCCTCTTCTGTGCCTTTAAGGCTTAAGTCATACGGTCTTCTGCATTAAATTTATTGAGGGAAGTGGAAACTTAGATATTAGTTTTTTCTTTTTCACCAATAACATCTTCTGCTTTATCTTCTTCGTTGCGGGATCCAACACAGTCATTCATGTCCCTGACACACACACACACACACACACACACACACACACACACTCAGTGTTATGTGTTATGGTGTTTTCATAGTTGTCTACTGGTGGTCATGGTACAGTTGCAGCGGTTTTGGCAGGGTGATTTGACACCTAAGTAATAAAAATGAAATAAAAGGATATGATCCTGTTTCTTCTGCGTCATACTTTAACCACAGGACAAAGACAATATAACATAATGAAACAAGACAAAAATTAGAAAATAATTTGTCATTTGTATGCATGTCCCAATACAATGTGTCATGAAACAATACGACGCGTAGGCTGCGGTACCTATGGTTTTTCTACAACAATAAAAGAAACTTAATTTAGCACCAACGGGAATGGTAATAGGAGTTTCTGTGAGCGTTACAAAAGTCTGGATTCGTCAAGGTTATTGAAAGAAATTCAACAAATATAATATCATGACACCTAAAATAAAAACTAATCAGGACCTATGAAACCATGTGTGAAACATAACCAAGAAGATTGAACATGCGTTAAAAATTAAATTATTATCTGTGGAAAATTTAAACGTTCGATTTTCAAAACTGAAGTATATTTACTGAACACCTATAAAAATCAGGACCGTTCCGTTTATTGTTACGAAATTTTACACATTTCCTTCCTACACGTTCAACTGTCCTGTATGTCACATTATTTGTAAACAAAATGTTCATCAATGGTCTTGGTAATCGTAATCAATCAATATAAGTCGAAGTGTGACCAACATCTGCCATTGTGTACATAATATGTCAAGTCGATTTTGCTAATGTTATCTTAATGTTTGTAAACAGATTAAGTTACTGCTTAACTCGTAAAATTAATTTCAAATCAGTTTTTATTGGGCACAAAAAATCAGGTATTCTTTATTGATAACAAAAATAGCTATGAATATAAATAAACTTGTCAAGCAAACCAAGCGACCTTAATTTGACGATAAAACGAACAAGCTCAAAATTTTTTACAAAGACCATTGAACTCTGGTGGTCGTAAAATATTTTTACTAAAACATTTATAAACAGGTAAAATATTTATTTTATTGAGGCTTAGTATTGTTAGTCATGCAATTGCTACTTTTTTTATTTAGGTACAAACTCTTTATTGACAATTGACGACAGTTGAAAAATGTGTCTATGGTAAACACTGAGTATAAAAAAGTTGGATGTTCAATCTGACTTTAATAGCAATAGAATTTGAATAAAAATCTGCAATCTGTAACCTAGATACATATTATATTGTTAAGGCTACATTATACGAGTAGATAGATATCGCAAAGAGAAACTACACTAAAATTAATATTTTTAGAATCACTAGATCGTATGTAGGTACATAAATCCGTTTTCTCAGCTATGCTTCAAATCTTTAAAACTACGCAACGGGTTTTTAATAGATAAGAGAAAGGTTTATGTCATGTACAATAACATCCATTAAAAATAGGTAGGTAGTGGGGAAATTTAGTCTCAGCATTGCACCCGTGCAAAAGCCAGTGCGGGTAACTAGTTTATTTATAAAAATATTTAAGAAGTTTTTTATTGAACATTTACGCAATCAAAAAAAATTTTTTTTCTATAGTTGGTATTGCATCTACGCACAGGAACGATGATTCAGCGAAGGTGAAGAACGATTACTTGTGTGTGTAATCTAATAAATTATCGTTTAGTATTAAGCAAGTGATTTAGATAATAGTGTAATATTGTTTCGTTCTAAGGCCATTGCACACACTTGACCGGCTTCCATATCAGCCAGTTACAATAGCTGTTATGAAACAACAATAACAAAACCTTTTTATCGATTTTTCTCTTCGCGTCCAATTACAAAATATCAATTTCGGTTTTTTACTGATATGTGCACTCGTATTGTATTGGTAATATTAAAAGTATTTATTCAATATTTAATGTTATGTCAATAAGTAAGTTACGAAATGTCTCTTTGTTATTATT